TTCTGTTATTAACCTAGAATCAGGCCTAGATGAAACCTCAACTTTAGGAGGGCGTATACGTGGTAGTTGAAACGGCGTTTTTCCTTGTTCATCTGCCGCTGTAGGCCTTGGCCTAGACCTACCCCTATTGCTCCCCTCTACCACCATCCTCAGTTCGTCCACATGGTCAATCATATCTTGTATTGATTGTACCACTTCCTCCAATGACTGTCTAGCGTCGCAGAAATCCTATTTACATTACGAATACATGTTCTTAAATTATTCTGTAATTGATTATAATCTGTGTTTCCCTGTTCTAATGCTGCAGTAACATTACGAACAGTTTGTCCAACGGTAGAAAGTACATCATCAGAATGATCAGACGCCATTTTTATTAAATTTGAACGACCGTTTTGATGATTTGTTTTTTACCGGGCAAGTACAACCGGAAAAAGCACATCAGCCAATCACAGTTACTTAATGAAAATACACCATAACTGTAATTCAATCAACTGTGGCTGACCAATCATATAGCACTGATATTACGTAAACGCAAACAACCAATCGTATTCACTTAACGCTAATTACAACCAACCTTCTGAATTGCATTTAACTTGAATTGCATTACAGTTAACTGGAAATGATTTGCAGTTAACTTGAAATGCATTCAAGTTAACTGCAAATGTTTTCGATTTAAGCCGAAATAGACATAATTGAAATAGATTTGCAGTTAACTTTAAATAAATTACACTTAACTCAAAAACAAAATTTTAATTGTAGTTAACTGCAATTGAATTCGAGTTAACTGTAATTGAATTAGAGTTAACTGTAATGCATTACACTTAACTGTAATGTATTGCAGTTAAGTCGAATGTATTACAGTTAACTGTAATTGAATTACAGTTAACTGTAATGCATTCGACTTAACTACAATTCAGAGGTAAATGATAAAACGGCTTGCCATACGTACTTCACACATTACCTTAAGTAATACGCAAATTCGAGCCGGAAAACTAAACACAGTCTAAAACAAAAATCAATAGAAATATTGAAATACTCATTTGAATAATCTACTTTAAAGAGACAGATAAAATTTATTTGATTCTCTTTTTAATTATTTATTTTTTAAAATTTGATTCTCTATAATTTACTACAAAACCCCAACCCCGACTACAAAACCTTTCTAATCCTCTGTCAAGTATATGATAAAATATGTTGGAATGAGTTAAAAACTCTATAAATTACTCATACTTTAGGAAGAGCGTTGAAGCAGCTTTATATGTCATTTCCAGCCATCAACAGGTTCTATTTCTTAAAAATCTCGCACTTCACTATGGTAGTGCTCAGATGGATGTGAACTCACGAATGCCCCCTTCTCCTTCTCCACTTTTCAAAAAAAATGTTCGTCTTTGATCTGGTCTAATTTTTTCGATGGGCTTATTTTGATGTCATTAATCCTTTCATCACTCATAAAACCATTTCACCGCCTATATCATCATTCTCATAGTTAGGCCTACCATCGTTATTTTAACTTCTGAGAATGCAGGAAAATGCATCCCAGATTCCGAGAAAACACCAACCAGTTGACAATATCTCATTGTTGGATATTTGCATATGTTTCGATACCGGCTCAAATGATGGAACAGAAAGAAATCAAGACTTTTGTTATAATGCAACGCTATAATTCCGCTCAGAGCTATGGTTACGCTCCTTTTGTGAACAAATCGAAATACGCATGCGCAAACCCATAACTAACGTACATCGAGGAAAATTAACGTACTCCGCAACGCAACGCAATTCACAATTTTTTCTCCGGACTCCGGACCGGAATCCGGGCTTGATGTGAACGTAGCTTAAGTGCAGTTACAATGCTGTAAAAGTAAAAGCAGTACAATTATAATTAATATAAAGAAATTAGGTAAATATGGCCAAGGATGTAACACATATGATAAAAGACCAAACAACGTCCTTAATAAGGATGTCCCCTAAATAGGATACCCTTATTAAGGGTGTGGGGGACATTAATTTTTAGCATGCAGTCATACAAATATTACATATTTTGTGATTCCGGTTGATCTGTAAATTAAACTAAATGGTAAAAAGAATTCGCAAGATAAGGGGAAATACAATACACTTACGATGAAATAGGGCTAACTAATGTCATTAAAACAATAAAAGTTGTATAGGCCTATTTTTTCTAGATTCCAGTGCTATGGCAGATACAGCAGAATGAATAAAGTAAATTACTAGAAAGCAGTGTGAAGGTTACAGTATAGATTTAAGTGGTAGAATCAGGGGGGAAGTCGACAGCCATCCCCGGCGTCCCTCTCCTAAATTTTGAGAAAAAATTGTATTCAAATTAAGTATGACAGTTGCATTTCTGGCCATCTGGAAGTGCTATAATCATTAATTTTCTTATCTCAGCCCAAGCTTGGTGGAGCTGAGATGGTCTACAGCATCCATCTGTGAAAGCCTCTCTCTGGGCCCCCTTTATTTGAAATAATAATAATAATAATAATAATAAACATTTTTAAAGCGCCTATTAAAGCAAACAAAACTGGCTTGTCACCGGCGCTGGAGGATGTTAGAAAGAAGTTGAACTATTTGAAGAGGAATGATTTAAGAGTAGATTTGAATAATTGCGGATCAGAAATGATACGTAATTGAGGCGGCAGAGAGTTCCAGAGTTTAGGAGCAGAGAAAGAAAAAGAGCGTTCACCGGTACGAATATGCTTGACTCGTGGAGTAACAAGTTTGAGGGTTTGAGAAGAACGAGTAAAACGGGAAGAAACCTGTTTGTCTATAAGCGAACAGAGATAAATTGGGGCACGACCATGGATAGATTTTTGGGTGAGAAGAAGAATTTTAAAATCCGCCACAGTACTGTACTGGATTTTAATCTGTATGCAATGACACACAAAGAAAATAAATACTGTACCATGTTTAAGGCAGTACGAAGGAAAATGGAATAAATCCCATCAGTCTATCAAAGTAAAACACACAGTGAGCCTATACTGATACCCGTAATGATATAAAAAAAATAAAAAAATAAAGCTCATTTTTATTGTTATTTTGATTAAAAAAATGATGACTGAATCAGTGGTGGAGTCCAAGTGACTACAGGCCCCCTACCCGAAAAAAAAATGGGAAGAAAAAATTTAATTCATATGGTGTGAGACTCGTTTGCACAAATTCAATTCTGTAATTTGTCAGATTATTATTATTATTATTATTATTATTATTATCCTTATTATCATTATTATTATTGCTATTAGTATTACTAATACTATTACTATTTTTATTACTATTAATATTGTTATTATTATCATTATTACTATAATTATTATTATTATTTTTATTATTATTATTATTATGATTATTACTGTATTATTATCATCATCAACATATCATTATTTGTCAGATTTCCCTTTTAGGCCCCTTGTGAGAGTTCTGGGATCATCATTATTTATTTATTATTTTTATTATTTTTATTATTATTATTATTAATATTATTATTTATATTATTATTATTATTATTTATATTATTATTATTATTATTATTATTTATATTATTATTATTATTATTATTTATATTATTATTATTATTATTATTTATATTATTATTATTATTTATATTATTATTATTATTATTATTATTATTATTATTATTATTATTATTATTATTATTACTATTATTACTATTACTATTATTACTATTACTATTATTACTATTACTATTACTATTACTATTACTATTACTATTAC